ATCACTTTCAAAGACGTGTTCTTCCTCTGAACTTTCAAGATGATGTTCCCTTTCCCTTATTCTCCAGAACTTGTTCAAAGGCCTCTTGTTGAGAACTGGTTTACCTAGAATCTGGTATTTGCCAACAAATAGGGTGTGCAAATTGCCCTTGGTCCCGTTCTCTGCTTCCTTAGATATGGGTAACATGCTCTTCTCACATTACAACTGGCCAAAAGGATGTGCAGAGTCCCTAGCCTAATTCCCAGTGTCACCGGTAGGTTTTTATCTCATATAGCTATGTTGGACTGAGACAGGATCTTCTAACCCTCACTGCCTCATTCTTACCTTGTACCAGGAGTCTGCTATAAATGAAGGTAAGAAAAGTGCTACAGTTTCCAGAATGTTCTACCATGAGTGCTTTTTCATTCTCTACACATGCCAATGGTAAACTTTATTCTTAAGGACTCTAGTTCCTAGGACTCAATATGCTATGACTGCCTCCTACCCCAAACACAAATATATACACAGAAAACATGAAGATTCCCTATCCAAGTGTATTCTGGGAGTTACAGCCTCCAAACAAAAACTGAGATACTGATTGAGAAGTAAAGGATGGAACACCACCCTGGCTCAAACTGCAGCTGCCCGATTTCCTGACTGAAATGGACCTTACATTTTGGAACCAAGGGATGACTACAAAGAAAGGATGCAGGGCCTTGCTGTCTACCTTCAGGGCAGGCTCAGCACCACTGATGAGGGGTTCCAAGTGCACTCTCCAGTGCAGTTTTATCTGTCCTGTAGTTTGGAGAAATCTTGACAATGGGCCAACGTAAGTCCCAGTTTCTAGTGATGTGAGTTTGCAATGTTTATGCCTTCATAAGTATTTTAGTGGGCAATGGAGACTGCTTATGAGATGCTTTATAAAAAATGAAGTTACAGTGATAGGAAGAAGGTTGTAACTAAAAAGAATTACAGAATCTCAGTGCTGCAAGGAGCCTTAGAGGTCATTCAGTTCAATCTCTTCAACTCTACAATAACTCAGGAAGTGGTCACCGAGCCTAGGCTTGAATCCCTTCAGTGATCTAGAACTCATCACTTGGTGAAACAATTCACTTCATTTATACAGAGTTCTAATTTTTAGAATGTAATGTGTTATACTGAGGCAATACTTAACTCTCTGTACTTTCTATGAGCCCTAGTCCTTCCTCTGGAGCCACACAGAATAATCCTAACATTTCTTTCAAGAGGTAGACATTTCTTTTAAGAGACAGATCCTCAAATACAATAGTATCAAATCTACCTCCCAAGTTGTCTTTTTCAGTTGTTCCTAGGGATGTACAAGCAGAACTTTGACTAAGTCTATATAAGCACACTATGCTAGCTACTCAATACTCTCTAACGCAATAGTACCACGTGCAACAATGTTAACTATAGTTGGTCAGCATCGTGACCGGCAGAATAGAAAACAGAACATCTTCAACCTACCACATACATTCTTTTCCACAGCTCCAGTAACCCCTGATTAATGACCTCCACTTGCAAAGGAGGCTACTTTACCTTAACCATGAAATAATGAATGCTATTGATCCAACAAGCTACTGCTATAGAGTGTTATTGATCACCCAATCTTTGGTTAAAATGGTCCTCATTTAGCAATTTCACTGTCGCAAACACCTGGAGCAAAGCGTGCTCATAATTAAAGAGTTTGGGGGAGTTAAAGTGAGAGGTGACGGACAGAGATCTCAGCTTTCTCCCATTTATTCTTGCTTCTGAGCTATTGTTTGTGTCAGAAGGGATATTGATTTTCTATAAAAATAAGAAAACAAGAAGCACCAAGGGGCCGCGGAAGGTCAGCTTGGGCTAGAGAAGGAGGGGGAATGTTTAGCACTCTATCTTTGTCACTTGCCTTCTAAGAAAAGGGAATATTTTCTTTCCTGTAAGATCAGCCTCTAATACATCACCCTAGGAAAGGCTCCTGACTGCGACTTCAGGCCATAACCAAACCCATTCACTTATGAAAGGAAAGAAGCTAAACTATATTCGAGGAGAACAAACTAATGATGTCTTAGTGAAGAATTGAGCAAAACTAACCCGTGAATCACCTAATTAATAGCTGTCATATAGGCATTTTAAATAAAGATCAGTAGAAAGTAATTTTACAAGAGTTCTTCCATTTTAGAATGGAACACACATGCACAGAAAAATATTAAAATAACTGATCTTTTTGCAGGCTTAAGAAAACTATTACATCTTAACTACTTTTAGTTCCTCAGACCTCTTGAGGGATTGGTTGGTGTAGAACGGAAGGAAGAACAGAAAGAGAAAAGCAAAAAGTATTGGTTAAGCTTAAAACTACTCCATGTTTAGTTAGCAGAGTAAATTTAAGGAAATTAGAAACAAAGCTCTCTGATACATACTTTTTAAAAACATTCTATCCATTGACTAGGCCACGCTAGGCTTGATGATCAACTTCATCCTAATAATTTTACAAGTTGGATCATACATACTCTGACAACCCTCAATATCACTGATTAAAAGTAAAGTTCTACATTTTGATCTTTATATGAATAAACTGGAGCATTCAAGCAGATTTATAAAAGAGTAACCAGGAGGATTCTTGAAAGTATTTCTTTTAATGCACAAAAAAGGAAAATTTTGACAGAAGCAACTCACCAATATAGTATAATATCCAAGTCATAAACCATTATATACTTAAACACACTCAAACGCTACTCCTGTTTATAAAGTGTGCTTAATCATCCAGGGCAAAAGATTTTTAGTTTCAGCTGAGGAGCTGAACAAAGTATGCAGTTAAAGAATATGTAAGAATCACCCCTCTGCCCCTGAGAGTAGATTTGGGGGCAGAGGGACACAAAGCACTTCTGTTTGTTAACTACAGGGTAGTCAACATAAGTCAAAGAGAATCTAAGACTCCTAAATAATTAGATTCTGAAGAATAATTTTTCTCATTCTATTTCTCCCACCCATTATTCCCTCATAGCACAAGGACTCTGGCATCCATATTACTGAAAGAACTCTTAAATTGTGGGCCAGGGAGACAGTCCAAACGGGGAAACAAGTCTCCTCAATTTGAAGAGTAAGAATTTCATAAGAATTGCTGCCTACTTCAATTTACCCAGGCTCTCAGAGAACTAGAATGTGTATTATCACAACCTGACTAATGTGAATAGATGTGTCTGCGCTATGAAGGAAGTGGAAAGACTGAAGTGCCTCTCTGCCAGATTATAGGCTCTGCATTTGGAACCATACTTGGGCTGTAATCTTAAATCAGACAGTTAACACTCTCTAACACACAATTATGTCATAGTTTAACAAGAAACTCTGGAGAAGAAATATACACAAGTTACCACCCCTAAAAAACTATTTTTAAAATCTCCATTCTCAACATTAAGATGATTACTATTTGTAATGTATGCTCAATATTAAAACAAACTTGAACGCGCCTTACTGAGGGCTTCCATATTGTGAAAGGCTACAAGATGACTAAGCATTTCTTGTTTGATTAAAAATAGGATGAAGGAAAAAAAATCTTTATAATCCAAAATTATACATATAAGTAAGCAGGCCTTAGAATATATTAGAGGAAAATTAGGAAAGCCAAATTATAAGCCTCCCTAGTTGTAGAGACCAGCAAACATAAAGTAAGAAAAAATTTTAAAGCTGGATTAACTATCCATAAACCAGCTGACACACCCTCACCTCAGAGTTCCCAAAATTTATGTCTTTGCTTCTCAAACTTTAGGAGAAGCAAAGTCCTAAGAAAGGTCACCCATTCTAAGTTTGTAAGTTAAGATGAGACAGAAAAAGCCATGGAAAAGACGAAGTCAAAAGGCAGGGAAACATGGTGGTTAAGTAAGAGCTTTGGAATCAGGTTTGCCACTGGGTGACCTGGGGCAAATGATCTAATCACTCTTAAATTTTCTCTTCTATAAAATTCAAATAGCAGTAATTACCACACAGTGGAGCTATTAACATTAAATAAGAATATGTGTTATAAACAATAGTACAGTGCCTGGCATACAGTTAGTGCTTAATAAATGCTAACTAATATCAACAATAATAGAATACAATGGTTCTCAATCAGGACTACTTAACCCACCTAGGGAGCACCCATGGAGGTATTTGGCTTGATACTATGAAGGGATGTGGCAATAATGTAGAGATGCCAAATATCTTACAAGGAATAGGACAGTCCCTCACCACAAAGAACTGCCCCATCCAAAACACCAACAAATATCACACATAATGATAATAATAATAAATCTATTATTATTATTATTATTATTAAAGTGTCTAGATGAGGAGTTTCAATTTTCCTAGAACTATCTGAGATGTAAAAAATAAAAACTACACTGACATTTTAAATATACACTCATTAGAGACAAATTTTTCTGGATCAATGACATTTGGTATAAGACTGATGGGACTCAGTACATACTGTTATATTCAAAGTCTACTATGTGTTCAGACAACCTGAATGTCAGCCATAAAAAATAAGTTCAATACTGTCAAACTGTAAATTGCAGAGAAGAGAATTATAGACCAGAAGTATCTAAGGCCATGATTCTTAATGGGTAAAGGAAGTTTCCTAGGTACATTTTAAAACTCTTGGCCACCAGCATTTACACACACACACACACACACACACCCCAGCCTCCGCAGAGAACCTGGTTCTAAACAATACCTATGTATAAACTACATGGCATAAATAGCAGCGAACTCTTTTTAAAATAAAATTCTGGTACGCATTTAAGGTATGCATTTTAAACAATTTTTAGAAACAAATGTGTTTCTAGTATCGCCTTCTTGACATAGAAAAAGAGAATCATGAATGTTATTTAAAAAGCCAGATATAAATACTAGCTGATTGGTTAAAAGGAGGGCTATAATGTCAATATTACAGTGGCTAGTTTGAAAGGAAATTAAACTCATCAAAACTGTGGATCTGTACTTGGGTTAAATAACCAGGAAAATTTTTGACTTAGTAAGGGAGATCTCACCATTCTGACATGTTCTCATCAGAGCCCTGTTTTTGTTCATCTGCTTCACACTCCATTCTTTCTTTCCTTCCTGTTTTGCTTAGGAAAGTCCTATTTTCTGCTGATTCACACAATCCATGGCCTGATGAGGTCCAGGGAGTATTCTCCTTCCAGCGTGACAGACGCTGCTTTTTAGCAGACTTGAACCTACACCCTCTCTCATAGCTCCAATCTGACACCTTGAGCTTCTGCTGAAGGCTGGCAGCCACCTCTGATGTCACTCGCTTCACTTTCCGCCGGCGCCTGAGTGGTCGACAAGGTGCATTTTCAGTAAAGGAGTCAGATTCATGCCAAGAATGTTGCTTACTCTTAACAATGGCATTAAGAGATGGGTGCCGTTTGGCTATCATTGTGTCATCAGAGTCACTAAAATTGGTGACTGGGGCCATTTCTCGACAGTCCTTAATGGCCTCATCCAGACTGGACTCAGAGGCCTCACTATAGCAGCAGGTATGTTCTGCCAGGTGAGTGAAGTCTGAGCGACGTTTCCGGCCTCTCCGTTTGCGAAGTTGCCGCCTCTGCTGCCGGGGGCTCAAGGCCATCTCCTCCCACAGCTCACCAAGCTTATTCTGTTCAGATGTCTGCTCCAAGGCTGAGGCTAAGTCATGTACCAGCTCATCCATGAGGCCACATCTACTAAAAGGAAGTTCAAAAACAGGAAAAAAAGAGAACCTGAATAGAATTTGTCATTTTAGAATAATTTTATAAAGTAGATTACAGCTCTGCAGAGTCCACCCTATCTATAGAAAATAAAGTCACCTTTCTTATGGCTACACTTAGAATCTGTTCCCACCATCCATGCTCATTTTGGCCACTTGTTTGGTCCTTGTTAAACGCCTGAAGTCAAGATGTTTTTAAGCACAAAAATTCAAAAACTAACCAGATGACAACTCAGATATTAGCAAAAACAAGCAAACTCAGGGGAATAAATCTTTCCCCTTATCCTCAATTAAACTTGTCGCTAAATTATCTGATGATGAGATCCAAAAAAGATTAGAGACTGTCTCGTCAAATAGGAGCAGAAAAACACACACTTCAAAACCATGGATGAAGGACTGTCTTATGGTCTGAGGTCACTGATAAGAATGCCTGTGGATGGAAAGAGAAAGACAACCTAGTGAGACTTTAAGGAAGACTGCTTGCAGCTTTAAGTGATCCAAGAATTTGTAGTGACCCAGGTCTGTACTCTGAATGGAAAAAAGAGATTAAGTTTACACCCATTCTGGTCCTTACTACTACCTGGAAACTTCTTTTTTTAATTAGCAACTTTTAAACTCTTCTCCCCATCCCTCAGAAAATTAAGTGACCATCCTAATAATGTGCTTTAGTTATAGACGATCACACAAAAACAGGATATAACTGAGACTGAAATGACAGGGATGGGTAGAGTTCCTAAGATTTCTAGCTAAATGCTTTCCAAAATTTCCTATTTTTCTCTTCATTCTTGTCAAATCATCATTCGTCAGGGGTCACCTCTGAGGCAAACCTTCCAAGGGATGAAAGTAGTTACGAGCAATCTTCAAAATGCCCCTTTTTAGGGAAATGGCTAATACAATTTGTACAACACCTAATTAAATGAATATTAAATTAGTACTTTTCCCTAGCCCTTGTAGAGTCCAAAATATTTCTAGACCGCAATTAGAGCTTAAAACTGCAGGGCGCCACTCTCAGACCGTATTTCCGTTCATGCAGTTTACATTTTGCAAAGGACTTTCTAAAACCTATTCTCATACTGTCCTTACGCCAACGAACTCAAAGGCAGGAAAAGAGTCGGCTAACTTATCTGCCACATCGGTAGGAGCAACGGGGACACCTATTTCCAAAACTACCAACCAAACAAAACTTCTCAAAGTGTCAAAAGCACACATAAAATGACCACTTCTCTTTAAGCAATAGTTTAAAACGTCATGCATGACTGGGATTTGGCAAACAACTGTCCCTAAGACCAAAACAGGTAAACAAGTGGGAACGGCATGTCTAAATCTGTTTCCCTAATAAAAGAACTACTGCTTTAAAAACTCAAGCGAAACTGTACAGACTTCAACGTGGAACTAAGTTACCAAACAACTCGTAGTGGAATACCTGTGCAGAATCTTTTCCTGCCTCCAAGACTGCGATCAGAAAAGTGACAGATGAATCCTGGGACTCCTAAACCTCCAGTCTCGGATGCACAGTCTAACAGGACCCCCAGGTGAGAAAAGCGCTCAGGGAAAGGAAAGACTGAGTTAAGCAAAAGAAGGGGAACTGGAAGGAGAGAGGAGGGCGCAGGGTCGTTGGGTTGGGGGCGGAGGCGGCAGGAAAAAGGAAACAACTTCTCATTCGTGCCCACCAGGGGCAGGAGGTCAGCCCTTGAAGGACAGAAACCAAGAAAAAACAAGTCCGGGCGACTAAGCTCTCTCCGTGATCAAGGGTCGCAACATGGCCACATGTGTGAGACAAAAAGCATATTTCGAAAGACTCTCCCCAACGCCCCGGTCCGCCCCCAAGAGCTAGGGCGACCACCGCTCTGAACAACAAGCCCTCATGCTGACGCCGGCCCAAAAAGAGCCAGAAAGAAGAGAGAGGAGGAGGCGACTGTCGCCCGGGAGACGGCCCGATCCTCATTCTCCCGGACAGAGACGATGGGCCCTGATAAAGCAAGGCCCCGCCACATTAGCCCCTCCCGCCGGCCGCCAAGGCTACATGGAACCTTTGGCCGCTCAGCCACGACCTGGAGCCCGGAGCCCCACTGGCGCCGGACCCCTTGACCTCGACCCACGCAACCCACATCTTCCCCTCACCAGCTGCTGCAGGTACCTCCACCGGCCGCCGCTTTTCGGCCGCGTCTCCCCACCGGGGTTTCCCCGCTCTGACCTCATTTCCGGTCTGGGCCGGAGGGGTGGGGCAGTGGCGGAGTGGGAGGAGCTGCCTGCGCAAGAGGGCCCGCCCCAGGTCAGCGTTTCCGGCCTCCGGCCACGCCAACTTCCGCCCCAAGGAAGGCGGGGCTATGGGGAAACCCGGAGACAGGACAGGGGTCAAGGAGAGGCTGCGGTTAGGACTCGGGAAAATTCAGGAGTGAGGTGCCTGTCTAGGGAATGTCCCCGCCCCTCCACCACCACCACCATGTTGGCTTCATCTTCTTTGGGCAGGGAGCGTCAGGAAGTTGGGCGCTAGGGAGAGGTGTAGGTCTCTCCCTTGCTGACCTACTTTTATAAAGGGTGTGTGAAGTTGGGAAATGGATCCTATTTTTTTTTTAAAGTAAAAAAAAAAACGCCTACAGCACTTGGTATTCCTAAGTGGTCTCCCCCTGCTTACCTTCCAAGATCAGACCTGATTGGGCATGTTCAGGGTGGCATGGCCGAAGACGGGTCCTCCTTTTAACTGTTAGAGTTAGTACAACCTTTGGCGAGATAGCTTTGCGGTGAGTTACTCAGAATATTAAAAATACTCTTGCTTTGAGCAGCAAAACAAAGTATTATTGGATTATAACAAAGTATAAAAGACATCCATGAGTTCATACTACGTTGATGATACGAATAAATAAATGGGAAGAAGAGATAACTCTGTAGTGCAAAATTCCAAATAATTTAAGTAGATACTCCACCCCAAAGCTTAAACCCCAACTCCTTAAATGTGGCCTGTGCATATTGACTTCCTTCCAAAGAGTACAGTAAGAGGGGAGAAATAAATAACTTTGTAGTGGAGAAACTAGACAAACACTACCTTAGCCAGGTGATCTGGGTTAACATCAATAGTGATATATCACCATAACATTATGTGGACTAGATATAGTGAGAGTGGTATTTTATTTCTCTCCTTCCAAAATCCATAACCCAATCTAATCATAAGAATGAAATCGGGCAAACCCCAATTGAGGAACTTCTACGGAATGCCTGACCGGTATTTCTCAAAATTGTCAAGGTCATCAAAGACAAGAAAAGTCTGAGAAACTGTCATAGCCAAGAGGAGCCTGGGGCAACATGACAACTAAATGTAATGTTGTATCCTGAATGGGATACTGGAACAGCAAAAAGGAAATTAGGTTAAAAAAAAATAAAGAAAACTGGATAAAGTATGGACTTTGGTAAATAATACTGCCTCAATATTGGTTCATTAATTGTGACAAACGTGCTATACTAATGTAAGTTGTTAATAATAGGGGAAACTAGATGTGGGGTATATAAAAACTGTTGTAGTGCTTTCATAATTTTCTGTAAACCTAAAACAATTCTAAAAATAAAACTTTATTTTTTAAAATGCACATGCCTTTTGACCCAGAAAATCAGCCTCTAGAAATTTTATTCTAAGGAAAAATTGGAAAGGGACACAAAAATGTTAAATACAGGTAAATTCATCTTTGCAGCATTGTGGAGGGAGAGGTGAAAATACTAGGAAAAAAACAAATCCTGCAACAATAGTTATCTGAACTATGGTATATCTATAGGATGGAATACCTTGCAGCCTTTTAGAATTGATGTGGAAGAATATTTAATAACATGAAAAATCATCAATTTCTGATTGTGTTCATTTTTGCATGACTGTTATACTTCAATAAAACAGTTACTCTAAAAATGTAGAGTATGACTATTCATGTGTAAAGGAAATTAAATCAATATTTGCATAGGAATATGACCAGAATAATACACTAAAAGTAATCCATAATGGTTCCATTATAAATAACTATATCTACAACAGGTAATAGTACTGTTTCATGGATTTTCAGAATTTTCTATAGAGGAAACATTGTGAAAAGAATTAAGGGAGGAGACGTAGATGACCGAGGTTTCGCACCAGAGTGAAAGAGTGGTTGGTGCCATTTACACAGCCAGAGAAGTTAAGAGAAATAGCTGTGGTGGGAAGATGATTAATTCCATTTTGGACTTGCGGAATTTGTGACCACCACAGACCAGAAAGATGGAAATGTTCAAAAGATGTCCACAGCCATCAGCCCTCTTTTCTACTTAAGAGAAGTTCTCCCCCATAAATCATATTAGTTCTCATGGTGTTAGTTGCCTCCGTCAGCAATGAAAGTGCCCATGTTTCTTGAAATCCAACTTTTATTTTCAGCTTTCTGCTAGATATCTCCACTTGTTTACTTCACTAGCATCTCCAGCTTAAGATATCAAAACCATGTTTAGTTTCTTCCACAGTCCCTATCAAATCTGCCCCTTTTCCACTCTCCCCTGTCTGGGAAATGTCATCACCATCATGAAATCACCCACATGAGAAGTTTCAAAACCAATTTTATTTCCTATTTCTTCCTTATACCTCTTCACCTAATTGAATACAGTTCTCATGGATTCTACTTCTACAGTATTCTTGCATTCACCCTCCCTCTTTTGCTTTCTCTCTGCCATTGGCCTCATCTAGGTAGACAGCTATTCTTCCAGATGGTGCATCTAGGCCAAGACTGTTTAAGCTGCGACTTGTTGGGGAACATGGGAAAATGTAATAAAAGAGCAGCTCACACTGACTTTGTGGAGGGGCCAGAAAGGAAAACTAGAATTTCTGAAGCACCAATGTGCCAGGAACTGCCCCCAGAAATGAATAGAAAATTAAGTTAGATGATGAAATAATACCATCATGTTTAATGACAAGAATATGTTATAAGAAATGCATCGTTAGGTGATTTCATCATTGTGCAAACTTAGTATAGACTACGACAAACCTAGACCATATGGTATAGCCTATTGCTCCTAGGTTATAAATCAATACAGTGTGTTACTATTCTGAATACTGTAGGCAATTGTAACACAATGGTATTTGTGTATCTACATATCTAAACAGAGAAAAGGTACTGTAAATATACTACACAAAAGATATTTTTTAAATGGTGCACCTGTATAGGGAACTTACCATGAATGGAGCTTGCAGGACCAGAAGTTACTCGGGGTGAGTGACTGACTGGTAAGTGAATGTGAAGGCCTAGGACATTACTGTATACTACTATAGACTTTATAAATGCTATCTCACAAGACCTTCCCCTGCTTCCTTTGGACAGGGTCAGAAATACTACACTGAAGATATCAATGCTGCTCCATGAACGGGAATGTGGACTGGATTGATTGCAAATATTGAGGAGAAAATAGCTGGGTAAGGCATAGATCACCATAATACTGATTTTCAGTGGGGAGTGAAAGGTGGCCTGAGGATCAGTAGGAATAAGAAATCAAGATGGAGAGATCAAGAAACAAAGGGGATTATCGTGGCAATGTGATTTTGGCTATTGCATGTCAGAGCAATGGTCAGATTTAGGAACTTTGTGATATTCATTCAAAAAAAAAAAAATGAGCGTTTTACATGGAGAGGGTGAAGAACTGAGGATTTTGGAAATTTGTTTTTTATTCCATTGACCCTATCTGGAGCAAAGGGCTCTCTCTGGCATTGAATTGGTGGAAGAAATAGAACATCTATGCATTACATCATTGCAACCTAAAATATTTCCAAAGTACAGGAACAGGTTGGCTCCACACTACCACAGAAAGCTTTTACTAAAGTGGGAGTGGAACTTAGTACTTACTAAGGTAGCCCCTGTGGACCTGAGTCCTTGTACAGAATCTTAGGTCTTCAACAAAAAATTTACAACACTGTGCTCTAACGACCATCAAGCTACATCTGGGAGGGCTGTAGCGCCCTCTGAACATGTAACACTGGGGGGACAGGCTCCTCTGTGCTGAAACAGGTCAGGGGCTGGCCGATTGAGATGTAATCTATGCTCTCAAAATTGAGGTTTTGTGAGTGAGAGGGATCTACTACGGAGTTCCACAGGTATTGATCCCATCAAAGAAAAAAATTCCTCCTGAATCACATTCCTTCCATTTCTCACAGAAAATTCAGCTCTATTATAATCTTATGGGTCCACATATATGCAGTCTGTGGGTGACTGAAACCTCACTATGCAGTGCATAGTAGTTAACCTACTACACAGGGTGTAGTAGTTAACATCAATTGAGCACTCAGTAGGTGCCAGACACTACTTTAAATATTAATGTGGATTAACTCAATAATCTTCACAGAAATTCTTGGAAAAAGTGCTATTGTTTCCTTTTTATAGATGACAAAACTAAGGCCCAGAGAGGTTAAGGAACTTGCCCAGGGATACACAACTGTTAAGTATGTACCTACGCAGAATGACTCTAGGAGCCAGGAACCTAACCACTAAATTATGAAGCCTCTAAAATGAATATGAGTGCTTACCACATTGAATACACATAACAATACATATATACATATATGATATATATTAATTGTTAGACATACGTGGACTATACAAAGAGATTTGTACCTCCATATTTATTAACAAAATCATTCAATTAATCCTCAAAATTACCCTTTAATGTTAAGTGCTATTGTCCTGACTTATACAGATGAGGAAACTAAAGCTCAGAGTAGTTAAACAGGGTCACACAGCTGATGTGAAATAACTGATTGGAACTAGACATTTGACACCAAAAGGATGCTCTTTTTACTATCTTCTCTCCTCCCCTTTAGGGAGATATTTGGCAGATATCGCCTGCACTGACTTTCAGTCAGTCAGTCAGGATATATTTAATGAGTGCCTGTCATGTCCTAAATATGAAGATATATCCATGAACAACATAAGCAAAAGTCCCTGCCTTCATGATTCTTCCCTTCCAGGGAAAGAAGACAAACAACGGATCAACATATGAGCTGTCAGGTGGTGAAAATGCTTTGAAGAATAACAAAATAGGATAAGGGGAAAGGAAATGCTGAATGTGGGGACTTGCTGCTATTTG